TTAGGAGATGTGTAAAAATAAAAGGGGGGGGGGGGGGGGACTTTTTTTTTTAACTTTAATGTCACTTTAACCCTACTTAGCAGTTTGGGATGGATTGGAACACTTGTTGCAAGGCAGGTCATCTCATCCAGCATCAGTACCTGACCACACAAATGCTGTTTTGGCAGAATGGGCAAAAACTTCCATAGACAAGCCAACATCTTGTGTAAGATCTTCCCTGAAGAGGGGAGGCTGCAAAGGGAGGGGCCAACTCCATATTAATGCCCATGGTTTATGAAACACATTGGTGTGATATCAGGTGTTAAGAAACTTTTGACAATATAGTGTACCTGTCCTGCATGGAGATCCTACAGCACCAAAGTATTACATCCAACCTATACGAGTCTTAAAACCACTTCAAGGTGATAGGTGGCACTTTCTATGTTTCTTGTGGTCACAAGACACTGTTGTAGAGCCAATCTCAAACCCCTGAGCAACAGAAGTACATAGCAGGTAAGCCATGCTTACTGTGGATCACAAGGTTAACTTTTTAGTTATGACTGGAGCAGGGCCGTCTTTAACGCAGGGCAAAAGGGGCAGTTGCCCAGGGCCCACTCATTGTTGTAGGGTCCAAAGCAGCTGCCCCTTGAGCAGGTCCCGCGCTGCAAAACTCCTACCTCTGGCCCTACATCTCAGCAATGACAGCAGAGCGCTGGATGATCGCAGAGCTGGTCACACGGAGAGAAGAGCTGGGTGGATGGCCTCCCCTCCCATGCTGTGTGTATGTGTGTGCTGGAGGAGGAGGCTCTGCTATGACCTGGACTCCGATGTTCACTGGCCTTTGCACCTGGATGGGGGCGAGGCAGCCTGCTGGGTGAGGGGACTACAGCCTGAATCAGGGCACCATAAACAGTGTGTGTCTGACGGGGAGACCCTGCATGTCTGTACTGGCTGCTGCATGTGTGTTTTAGGGAACACTAAACGTCCAGAGAGAGGGGTCACTATGCATCTTGTCTGCATCTGATGCGGGTCACTACATGCTTTCCATGTACATATGATGGGGAACACTACACGTTACACGTCATTGCTAGCGTAAGGCTGCATAGACAGTTGTCTGAGGGCACCGGGGGGTGGGGGGAAAGAGGGGGTGAAAAAAATGCACCTTCACCTATGTACACAATAATCCTTGCACCAGCCCTCCCCTTGAGCCCACAAAAGATACACCAGCGCCACTCTTATGTTTATTGTGCGATCAGTATTGCATAGTGTTGCTCCGTCCCTGTCGTATAGCCATATGCATGAGCGAAATTGCATGTCGGAGGCGGGTAGGGGGTGTTTTGTGTGTGTGTGTGACAATCAGTATTAAAGACGGCCCTGGACTGGAGTATACCTTTATATGCCTCCAAATTATCTACTTCATACAAAGTTCTGAGATTACAATCTAGCATGTAATTGGAAGCAATGGTTGCTGTTGTTTGCAGATTTCAGAGCGGAGAGATCAAAACAGTATGAGTTGAGTACACAAAAACTCAAAGGCTTTACTCATTTTTCACCACCACAACCTAACTATTCTCATAGAATTTCTACACCCAACCTACACAAGAGCAGAAGATATGAAAACATCCAAATTATTGTAGCACACTCTATAACAACCACATTTCCCTAGAGAGACTTTAGGTGACTTTGGGATTCTTTCCTGCTATTTGATGATTCATTATCCAGGAAAATAAGACATTCCCTTATGTTACTTTATTTTAACTGAGATATCAACTTCTTGTATGTGGGAAGACCATAGTTTTTTTGAGAAGAAAAAAATCATGCACATTGAAAATCAAGTCCTCCCCTGCCAACTGGTGTATGTGCATTATGTGTTATTAACACATAATGGATCGGAAGGTCCATCGAGACCTTCCGATCCAAGGAGTGGGGAAACAAAGGAGCGAAATTGTCCTTCCGACAACCATTCCCCAGGGCCTGGGTCAGGGCGGGCCACCCCTGCCAGAGGCTGAGCCTGTAATGCTGAGAGCACTCTGCGATGGGAAGCCTTTGTCCATCTGCCGAAGGAAGATCCAGTTAGGGCCGGGGGAAAGCTGGGTTCCCAAATAAAGGGGTCATCGAGCCAATGTAGGCCGACATGGAGTGTTTAGAGACATATCGGTCCCACAGCTTCAAGGCATGGGCTGTCAATTGGGGCATGGAGGGGTGTACCGGCCTGGATCTAGGGGGCACCCACGGTAGCGCCTGTAGATCACTCCCCGCGAGGGTCTCCTCCAGTCTGACCCATTGTTTCTCCTCACCCTTGTGAAACCAGTCCACTATGCGAGTCAGTACGGCAGAGGCGTGGTAGAGAAAGATATCCGGTGCGCTCGCCCCCCCTTTGCGTTTCGGGAGGGCCAGCGGCCGATAGCTAAGGCGTGGATGCGTAGTGCCCCAGACCATGCGTAGTGCAAACTGACCACACCAGTATGGATATACCTCCAAGCTTGATGTGGTCAGCAATATACAGAAAAATGCAGAACTGTCCACATCACCAGCTATTTCTAATTACATGGGACTGTATTGGTAAAATAGCAAAATGGCACAAACACTTTATTAATAAAGGAATGCATTCATGCATTAACAGTTTTAAGCTTTACACATACTGTAATTATGGCATTTTTGGAAGGTGACCAGCAATGGTGGCCCCCATACTCCTCTAATGACAGCTGTACTTTAAACACCCTTTTTGTGACTTGTGTCTGGGTGATTTTAATATCCTCTGGCAGGATGAATGAATCAAAACTTTTTAGTTCGTCATCATTAGCAATGTTTTCTTCTAACTGCCTAACCTCATGATTGGTGTGCATTTTTCTGATTGATTATTATGTTTTTTTCATCGTTTTGTTCTATTGTAAAAACTCTTTAAATAATAAGTGAAAAATAAAAGTGAAAGATATTATGAAAAAGGAAGGACCAGCTCATGCCTGGAGGTCCATCCCCTTGGTGGGAGAACTGGAATTTCAGCTACTGCAAGATAATTAACAGATATTTATAAAGAATGCAATGACTGACTCCTTAGAAGGCTGGTCTGCCTTTCAGACAAATATCATGTGATAAGGCAAGTCAGGGCACACACATCATTATTGTAAACCAACAAAAAAAAGATAGATAGATAGATGATAGATAGATAGATAGATAGATAGATAGATAGATAGATAGATAGATAGATAGATAGATAGATAGATGATAGATGTTGGACTCCCCTTTGTCAGAACTGGCTTCTTCATGGCATAGATTCAGCAAGGTACTAGGAACATTCCTTAGAGAATTTGGTCCATATTGACATGATAGCATCACGCAGTTGCTGCAGATTTGTCAGCTGCACATCCATGATGCGATTCTCCCATTCCACCACATCCCAAAGATGCTCTATTGGATTGAGTTCTGGTGACTGTGGAGGCCATTTGAGTACAGTGAACTCATCATGTTCAAGAAACCAGTTTGAGATTATTTTAGCCTTATGTAGTAGCCATCATAAAGGGATGAACATGACCTGCAACAATACTCAGACAGGCTGTGGCATTAAAACGATGTTTAATTGGTACTAAGTGGACCAAAGTATGCAGGATGGATCAATGCTTTCGTGCTGTTTATGCCGAATTCTGACCCGGCCATCGGAATGTCGCAGAAGAAATCAAGACCAATCAGACCAGGCAATGTTTTTCCAATCTTCTATTGTCCAATTTTGGTGAGCGTGTGCAAATTGTCGCCTCCGTTTCCTGCCCTTAGCTGACAGGAGTGGCACCTGTTGTGGTCTTCTCCTGCTACTGTAGCCCATCTTCTTCAAGGTTCGATGTGTTGTGTGTTCAGAGATGGTCTTCTGCATACCTCGGATGTAACTAGTGGTTACTTGAGTTATTTGTTGCCTTTCTATCAGCTAGAACCAGTCTGGTCATTCTCCTCTGACCTCTGACATTTTCACCCAGAGAACTGCCCTCACTGGATATTTTAGCTTTTTCGGACCATTCTCTGTAAACCCTAGAAATTTGGGAGAAAATTCCAGTAGATCAGCAGTTTCTGAAATACTCAGACCAGCCCGTCTGGCACCAACAACCATGCAACATTTTTTTAAGGCATGCCAGCCATCAAGGTTGTCAGTGTGCTTATTTCAGCTCTCAACCAAACTTTCAAGCCTTCAAATGGCTGGTGTCATAGCTGATCACATGTGCAGCACCATGGCAACTGCAATCTATATAGAGGCTAAGATGGCACCTTCCACTCTAAAGTTACAGAATATTTACAATACGGAGAAACAACCGTGAATGACAGCTCCCATCCCCAGAGCTGAATGTAAACAAAGGGGTGGGGATGCTGGCTGATGTCATTGACCAAATATGGCCATGGCCGTATTTAATCAGTGATGTCAGCCAGTATCCCAACCCCTTTATTTTAGTTGTTATTGAGCCGACAGATGAATGGGGTGGGGATGTGTCACTGGTTGCTAGGACATGTCCTGTAATGATGTAGGGGCCAGAGGGAAGAACCAAAGAGCACAGTTTGGGCCTGGCATCTGACACACCCAGAATTGTTGGATGTGAAAAGAACATTGCTCTGCGTACTTGTCCGTGCCTAAAAAATCACAGGATCAGCATGACAGATCACTTTCTAACATTTACAGGAGCGGTTGGCAATGGCAGTCTCCATATCTCCCTTGCAGAGTTCTACTTTAATGACTATTGAAAGCTCAGTTAGCCTTGTAGAGATTCTCTTCATTTAGGTCAGACCTGATCCCTAGACTTGCACTGAGAGAGCAGCAGAGTCATTGGGCAGTACTACTAAAGATAGAGTGGAGAAGGTTCAGAGCTCTTGTCTGTGGAGATTCACTCTCTCTATTTGTCACCTAGAAAGAAAATGATGGGAAATCTAAAATGTTGTCACTGGAGCAGGAGATAAAAGAAAATCAACCAATGGGGACACCCGTTCTGGAGACAACTGTGCAAGGGTAAATTTCCACTCACTTCCTGTTGTGCCTCTGGGACAGGAAATAAGGAAACCTTACCAGTATAACACATACAGGAAAAGAAAACAACCTGATTTACATTTAAAACAATTCCATACCCTATCCATAGTAAAAAATAAAAAAGAGATTGTGGCTATGCTAAAACATTCCATTATTAACATTATTTACATTAAACTCATCCGATTCATGAATACAGTATATCTATAAAAAGTAGGGATGCACCAATACAATTTTTTCCAGACCGTGTACAAGTACCGATACTTTTCCTCAAGTACTCGCCGATACCAATTACCAATACCTTTTTTAGTGTCATGTGACAGCTTTTCTAAAACAATACAGACTAATGGTTTTAGGACAATGGTGGAGCGCCAGGGCCTGGTCGCAGCTGCGACCTCGGCAACCCTGGTAGTTCTGCCATTGACTCC